ATTTCAAACGTCATTCTCCCTAAGGAGTCAGCAGGTGGAAACATCTTCCCAGCTTTACCTACGAAACGCCATTTTGCTGAACATCGCAGAATTCTAAGGCAAACTTACGTCAAAGACCTTTTCCCTACCCGCTTAGAAACTGACCACCCAGGTCCCCAATCTGAAACAAATCCCGAACAAACAACTGCCCGGTCGTAAACTGAGATCATAACTTAGCCCCGATTCTATCATTAAATCTAAATCAAACTCTTATCTTAAACCGAATACCAAGACCCTAACGCAGCTCCAACCAGGCGAAAATTCGCATAATTTCAAACGTCTCTAGGCGAAACAGAAACTAGTCCTGCACACGGTGGTACCAGAAAATACGCCGGATGTCTAAGAGACTAACTGAGTGGGAATTTTGATGCCCACATCAGATATCTTTGTTGGGCACAGAAATATGCACTTCCCCATATCATAGATGGCCTTGGCCGAAATCCCAGAGGGGAGGGGATAAAGCTAAAGTTAGGAAACGGGAATAGGAGCCACCCTGGAAGTTAGCGTGAGACCACATGTAGTACGGGGGGTCCATATTCTTGTGACCGATCGAAAACTTCAGTGGAGAGCCTCGGTGGATGGCTAGGAGCTGCCTGCCGTCTAGTAGGATTGCCATAAATGCACACAACCTAAATTCTTGGTATGAATGGAGCCTGAACAGAAAGACGCAAAGTAACAGTATCTTTTTAGCATCAAAAAGTAGTCAAACGCTTGTGCAGCGTTTTCAGTGAACACGACTTACTGTCACCAATACCACGAGAAAGGTCGGGACACTACGTCGGTGGTTGCGCGTGCATGTGCAAATAAGAGAGATAGAGAGAACAGACGTGAGGGGGTCACTTCAAGGGGATAGGGTGGGGGGAGAGGAAGTGGGAGCGGGAAGATGTTCGGGGACAATGCATAAGGGGAGAGGGGAAGGGACTGGATTGCATCTTCGTCGGTCGTATAAGCGCGATACGTGGAAAACGCCACTAGACCAGACGAGTGCCTCTCAATAATACAAATTGGGGCTGCCAAAGGTATTGTACAACTACTCTAACCCGATCAGCGGGAGAAAAGGGACAGATCTATGTACAGAAGAAATACAAACATGCATACGCGCACACATACAATCAGCGTACATTATTTACTATTCCGATGTGCGAAATAAAGAACGGATGAAAAAACATGCCTAGGCAGAATGCTCAATAAGGAATATGCAGCAACAGTGGCCGTAACACTTGCTGGTAACACAATGACGCAGAGAAAGCATGATATAGTATTTTGAGGCCTCTCGGGGAGCTGGCATGTAAGAAAAAGTTAATTTCGAATAGCAAAAGTGGGGGACTTCACAGGGGGTTTAGATTTTTATGAGACCGGTGGCAGTTGCCAACAGCGTTCAGCAAGGACTGCATCGTAACGGAGGAGGGTTCTGGGGGCGGGAGATTCCGACTACTCCCTACGTGTCCCAGATCCCAGTCCCTCCTATCTTTTGGAGAAGCGCGAAGGCGGCTGGAGACAGCAGCAGCAGCAGCTGCCGCTGCAACGAATTCGAGTTCAGGACCGTCGGAGGCGTTAAGTCGACGACGCTTCGCTTCCAGTTCCAAGGCGCAGGTGGCTGAGGTCCCGTTGACCCCCTCTGGGGACCGCACGGGCTCCAGAGTTGGGGGTTTGAGGAACATCATCCCAGCGGCGGCGGTAGGAAAGCGGGACAGGGGGCTGGTGTGCCGCTGGGGCTGATTATGAGGAGTCCTGGTACTGGCTTCAGATGGGAGACTGATTCCGGGGTCACAGGAACGCTTGCTGGCACTGGTGCAGATAGGGTCGCGTGTTTTTGAATGGCGTGCCTTCTCAGTTGTCTTCTGGGAGGAAACCGTCAGTCTGGAGGACGTTTGAAAGGAAGGTGGAGGAGGAGGGAAGAGCATCTGGGGAATTCGTTCAGGTCGGGTAAGATCAATAACTGATGACGGCGTTGGCGGTCCCGGCGGAGAGCCTTCAAAGGTGACGGGGTTAGGCGTCCCCAGCGGCATGTGGTTGCTGTCAAGGGCACGTGAAAAGTGTTCCTGCATTTCGGCCATACTGAACGCCATGTTAG